TATATCTTAATTTAAATTTCTAAAATTATACACTAAATTTCACTTATAATATAATACACCTTATACTACAATATAATAATTTTTTTAAAACCAAAAAGGAACACAAAAGGATCGATTTCAGCCTCTCTTTTTTTTTATTCTTTCGGTTGTTGTTAATTTATGCATTTAAGTAATGTGTTTACTCTTGATGCTTACCAAAAAATTTGAAAATGTTAATGAAAAAAGTAAAGTCAAAGTGAAGTACCTTTTTCCCCTTCCACATCCATGTTAGGAATGTGAGAGATATGGGGCCTGCAGTCTTCTTTGAATAGATTTGAAATCAATGCAGATGATGATGAATAAATTTTCAATTGCTGCAGGGTACTATTTTGGAGAATATAATCCGGTAACTTCTTTAGTTTCGGACAATCCTCAATTGTCAAGGAAGAAAGACGTGGCATGATTTCTCCTCTGCTTCCATAATCCCACTCTTCCCACTCTTCCCACCCTCTCATACCACCAAACTCCAATGTCTTCAAATTGGGGAAGGCAACAACGGATGATGAAGATGTAGACAAAGACATTTCTATCCCGAAAAATTCAACTCCCACCTTTTTTGCTTTCCGCATACCATACACCGTGAGTGATTCTAGAGAAGGCAATTTCCCCAAGGGAAATTCTAATGTTTCCAATTCATTAGCTTGGCTCACCGGCAAACCATTGAGATCAAATTTTAGAGTCAAATTAGTAATCCCCGTCTTATTCTGTAGTTGTGCCTTTTCTGCTTCCCTCTGATCTCTAACACTTCCCAATCCTCCTATGCTAAGACTCCCACGAAGATGATTCAAGTTCCCCAAATCACTTAGTGCAGCTCCTTTATGAGTCACCACAAACACATTCAATGTTTTCAAACTAGTCAATTTCTCCAGACCTTTAGGCATGAAATTCAGAGCTGTCCCCTCATTTCGAAGATGTAACAAGTTGATAAGATTTCCCATTCTATGAGGAAGTCTTTTAAGACTGTCACATCCACTAATGTCTAGTATAAGCAAATTATACAAGTCACACACTGCCTCAGGCAATTCCTTTAACCCCCAATTATTTGACAAGT